CTGTATTTGATAAAGATTAGTCAGTGTCCACCCCAACAGTTCCCAACAGCTTATCTTTTTTCAAGAATAATTTGAAGGTCAAAACTTTTCAAACAATAACCAGAAATTACAATGTTAAATTTTCGCTACTAGATGTCCTCAGTACGCTTTTAAAAAGGTCTTTTCCAGTCTTTAAAAGTATAGTCTGAAAGAAGAAATAATCTTCCAACACCAGATGATAGTACAATTCTTAGAAAAAAGGAGAGAGAATTTTCTGTATCCCAAAAAGTATGAAAATAAAATATAGTCTTTAAAAAAAATGCCTTCTTTCCCAAACACGTAAAAGCTGCCTTCTCAAGCCAGGGAAATAATTCTAACAAGGCTCTTACAGGTTCCAAAAGCAAAATAAAATACAGAAAGTGACAAGAAAAAGTCTCATCCGGATTCACCACGGGGGGTTCTTACAGCTTAGATGTTCTTTGACTTGCGGTTTGAAGCAGCAGGGTGATTGGCCATTTTACTGGCCGGTTTTCTTCTCTGTCGGCCCTCAGAGATCACCTGGACAGCTGGCTCCTCCACAGCCGAGCTGAAGCCTCTACGACGGAAGTTGCACCCTCCAGGGCAACTTTCAACCCATATAAGGGTCAACCAGCGGAGGGAAAGCTAGCCGACGAGATGAGTCTCCCTGTGCAACTAGGAGTGCCGTGAACCGGAACCGGAAGTCAGATGCTTAAATTTTTCTTAAGTGCTCAATATTCTATAACATCTTAGAAAATTAAAGTACTACTCGACATACAGCATATGTCAATTCCTATGTTTATAAAACTTTTTCTATGAAAGATAAGAGCTGTCAAGTTATTCATACACAAAATCACAAAAGATTTGTATTGTAATATATTCTGAAAATACTGGATTAACTAAAACAGCAATAAAGCAGCTAAGAATTTTACATTCATTGTTCCATATCAGAATCCTTTTTCATTGTAACATTGTTATGTATAGACGTGTTTATTTTTGAGTTGAGATATAATTTATTATGTTTTAAAAATACTATTTACTTGCTCTAGGAAGCAGAACTAAACTTCCTATGCATTTCTTTTGAAAAGTCAGACAACTTTTAACTGAACTTACTAATCATTTCAGACAGTAGCAAAAAAACTTCAGTTCACTACATCCTCTCTTGAGTGGCATATTTGTAATTTTCTCAGTCTTGTGATAGATTTATTTATATTTTATAAGATTATAATTTTCTGAAATAAAAGTGACATATCCAGAATATTTTAATATTTATTCCAATGAAATTTTGGAGAGCAAAATAGAATAAAATAAAGGAAGCAAAATTATATTGCTGCCTTTGAATTGTGCGAATTCAACTTTTTTTCAACTTTTTTTTTCACTGATAAAGGTTTTCTATAATTGGAATTAATTTATCATGAATGAAGAACAAACCTGTAAGATTCTACTTTTATAAGTTTTTCCTTTTGCTACCATTTTTTCCCCATTACATTTCTGAATGTATGTGTCTTTTTAAAATATACAATGTTTTTTATCTGTGGTTTACTTCTTCACAGACTGTGTGCGTACATAAATTGTGCATTATATAAGTAGTCTATTTTTACTTTAGGGATAAACTGCAGATGAATGCAGAGATAAACTGCACTAATTTTATTGAAAAATGCCTATTTAAGTGCATAATGTTGTACATGTTCTGGTTCAACTGGCCATACGTATCATGGTGAGAGTGAAACATATTCATTCTAATTTGAATTTGAATGTAGTTTGAAACTAGCAGATCTTCCCAAATTCTTAGTGCTGTAAAGCACTGTGGAGTGGTATATAAATTGAAGTGCTATTGCTATTTAAGTCAAATATTTTTTTTTAGGAACACAAACCTTCTGCTTAGTCCATACACACTATCATGCTAATATTGCTAATAAAGTTGTACATGTTCCAGCAGACAGGAAATTCAATAATAACTTTATTTAAAGAACAGATAATCTACTCTGTTCAAGAGTTTGCCACTTTAGATAAGTTTGAAGGTATGTAATAACAAGCTCCATAATCTCTCCAATTTTAAAATTATTAAAATATAAGAAAGAAATTAGTATTGGGAAAGTTTTGGTAGTTCAAATGATCATTTCTTTATTTATAAATTATATGAGATGACTACAATGAATGAAACTTTATTATTAAATGTAACTCATTAAAGACTGAACAGGCAGTAGAAATGAGTAAATGTCTTAATTTTAATTTTGCATAGTTTCTCATTTCATTCTTTTCATATTGTTTGTATATCAATTTCCAATGTTAATACAGGGCCTAGAAGGGGCGTTGTCTTACCTGAATGCCTTTTCTCAGCATGAGGAATGTAGAATCCACGCATGGGTATTAGAAGTCCTCTAGCCCAATCAGACCAAAGAATCAAAGTTGCCACGCCCCTGCTGGGCCGGACCATGCCCCAGTTTCGAAAAGGGCAAAGCCAATGATTGTGTGACATGTTGGCTCCCAGACTGCTGATATTGACCTGACTGCGAAATTTAAAGGGAGGAAGTGGATTCTACATTCCTCATGCTGAGAAAAGGTGTTCAGGTAAGACAACGCCCCTTCTCCAGCTTGGAAGGAATGTAGAATCCACGCATGGGACATACCAAAGCCATATGACCCCATGGGTGAGACGCAGACCGGTCAAGTGTCGACGCCGGAATGGATCACCTATTATAAGACCTGGCGGCCGAAAGAGGCCTCTGCAGAAGCAAAGTTGTTGAGCTTATAATGACAGATGAAAGGGGAAGGCGATGACCACGTCACTGCCCTACAGATGTCAACTATAGAAGCTTGAGTTTGCCACGCAGCAGACATGGAAGCACTGCGTGTGGAATGAGCCGTCAGACGGCCTGGAATTGGCAAGGAACAAACCCGGTACGCCTCTGTAATGCATACTGGGCAATAGTAGAAGAAGAAACCTTCTGACCTTTGGACCACATACGAAAGTAGACAAAAAGAGTCTCAGACCTACAAAAAGAAGCAGTCCTCTCAAGGTAAAATCGTAGTGCCCAGCGCACATCCAGGGAACGCCACCGCCGCTCCAGGACGTGCAAGGGTTTTGGACAAAAGTCCGGCAACATGATCTCTTGTGCTCGATGAAACAGTGTATTTACCTTGGGGATGAACAAGGGGTCCAATCGGAGCACCACCATCATGGTGAAAGGTACACAAGTCTTCCCTAACGGAAAGAGCTGTCAGTTCCGACACATGCCTTGCCGATGTGATTGCAACCAAGAAGGCCACCTTATTAGACAAGAAACGAAGATCACAAGATCTTATGGGTTCGAAGGGGGATCCTATAAGAGCCCGTAAAACCTGAGGTAACTCTCAGGTGGGATAATGATGGACCATAGGAGGCTTGCTGTTTGCAAACCCCTTGATAAAGGATCGGACTCTAGGGTGATGAGACAATGGAACAGAATCAGAACAGGTGAACACCGTGGAGATTGCCGCCACTTGCCTGCAGATAGTGCTGGGTGCTAAGCCCATATCCATGCCGTCCATAAGATACTCTAGTATCCTCGGAACAGTGACAGAAGAAGTTGGCAAATTCTTTTGGTCACATCAGTGGCAGAAGTTTCTCCAGGTGGCATCATAAATCCTATTTGTCACCGACCATCTCGAAGCCTGAATCATTGATATTACCCTGGGGGAGTAAGATCCCCATGTCAGGAACTGGCGTTCAGATGCCAGGCGGCTAATTGGAGCCACTGCGGGTCTGGATGTCATATGGCTCCTTGTGTCAAGATTATCCGCTCTGGAGGAATTCTCCACAGAGGAGCTATGGTGAGGTTCACGAGATCCGCGAACCATGGTTGCCTCGGCCAGTGAGGGGCCACAAATATCAGCTCCGCTTGCTCCTACAACAGCTTTCTGATGATGGCCAGAATCAACGGGAAAGGTGGGAAAGCATACAGTAGTCCCTCCGGCCAAGGACTGTGAAGGGCATTCGTCCCTTCCGCCCCTTGAGACGGAAACCGAGAGAGAAACCGGGGAAGTTGGGCGTTCGCTGGAGAAGCGAAGAGGTCGACCAGGGGTAGACCGAACCGATGCGTGATCTCCCAGAAGAGGCGGGGATGCAGGCTCCACTCTGAATGATTTACAGTGGAGCGACTCAGGTAATCTGCCTGCTGATTCGCCTCCCCTGAAATGTGCTTCGCCTTCAGGGACAAAAGGTTCCGCTCTACTCATGATCCCAGTAACTGAGCCTTGGACATCACCGCCCGAGATCGAGTTCCGCCCTGTCTGTTTACATGGGCCTTTGCTGCCACATTGTCCATCAGGACCAACACGTGAAACCCGCAATCGTTTTGTGGAAGGAGCGAAGTGCCAGGTGTATAGCCCTGAGTTCTAGCCAATTGGTGTTTTGTTTAAAGTCCCACTGGAACCACCGGCCCTGGGCGAATTGAAGTTGGAGGTGTGCCCCCCACCTGAATAGACTGGCGTCTGTGGTCAAGGTCACCCGAACTGGTTCTCTGAAAAGGAATCCCTTGGACAAGGCCGGGGATAGCCACCTGAGAAGGGATGTGAGTGTCTGTGCTGCGACCTGTATGCCTCTGGCTACGCCTTGCCTCTGGTAGCTGGAGCTGTCTCGTATGGAGTCTGGCCCAGGGCATTATGGCAATGCAGGAAATCAGTTTCCCCAACAGCTGTGAGAGCAGGGCTAGGGCCACTTTGCAAACCTGATACTCTTTTTTTGTACAACAGTTTCAGTTAATTTTACTCACTGAATATTTTATTAACATATATAGCTTAGGTGAAGATATAGATCTGTGTACAAATTACTTGACTGGAGAACCTAATCAAACAGAGATCTGTTTTACTTCACATGTTAATTTTCAAACAGTAAATTAGGAAAGATTAGATTAAAATGCAATTTAGATTTATTTAACAGAAACTAAACCATTTTTCTAACTAGTATAAAAAAAGACACATTCTAAGCTATGAAATAACTGAAGGATTTATTTTAGGCCTACCTGTAAAATTTCTTCAACACAGTCATCATCACCGACCCCACTGTCCTGTAAACAAAGAGGAAATAGATATAAAGTTAGAATTAATGACCATCACATATGAATACATGCCTTATGCCAACATGTATGTAATGCTAGTGGATTTCTTACATCTGGAAATCATGGCATTTTTCTTGTATGTGTTTTAAAATAGAACAGCATATTTATTATTCTGAGAAAATGAATATATAATTATTAAATATGCCTTTTTTCAAAAATTGTAAAAGAAGATTTTTTTGAAAAAGTGTTTTATTAATTTTCTATCATTACAATTTCTTAGTGCTTAATGAAAAATGTGTTATGATTCAGCAGTTAGAAATAATGGACTTTGGACAGAATCTTACAAACATGATAAAAACAATATACAATAAACAAAAAGCGAAAGTGATTGTGAATGGAAACTATACTGAGAACTTTGAGATAAGAAAAGGAACGAGGCAAGGATGTCCTTTATCTCCATTGTTATTTATTTTTACTCTGGAAATTTTAAATAGAATTATTAGACAAGATATAGAAATTAAAAGGCTAGAATAAAAGGTGAAACATATAAATTACAAGCATTTGCTGATGATTTGGTATTTATTTTAGAAGAACCTTTGGAGATGATTCCTAAACTATTGGAAAAGATAGAATAATAGGGAGAAATGGCAGAACTGAACATAAACAGAGAAAAAACCAAAGTAATAGTTAAAAACCTTACAGATAAATAAAAAAACAAATGTCGGAAAAAACAGAATTGCAGATAGTTAAAAAGGTCAAATATCTGGGAATACATTTAACAGCAAAATGTTCAACGATAAAAGAAAATAATTACACAAAACTATTGAATCAAATAAAACTGGATCTGGAAAAATGGAAAACTTGCAATTGTCAATACTAGGAAAAATTGATACAGTGAAAATGAACATACTACCAAAAATCTTATTCTTATTCAAACAATACCTATAAAACTTGAGAAAAAAATTATTTGAAGACTTAAATTCACTAATTTTGAAATTTATTTGACAAAGAACGAAAGCTAGAATTAAGATGAAAATGTTACAAGATGCCAAGGAAAATGGAGGACTTGGTCTACCGGAGTGGGTTTTATATTATCAAGCATCTGTATTAACATGGGTAAAAGAATGGATAACTCTTAGAAATAAAAGGCTGTTATATCTGGAGGGGCATGATTTACAACTGGGGTGGCATACTTTTTTATGGTACAGGAAAAATAAAGTTCATAAATATTTCCAAAATCATTATATAAGAAATGCATTATTAACAACATAGGAAAAAAATAAAATGGAAAATATATTTGAAAATTCCAGGGTAGTTGACAACAATGGAAGCATTTGTACACCCAAATTTAGTGAACTTTGAAAAAATCTGGACATATAGAGATATTCTAAACTCTAAAGGGAATTTAAAATCTAAACAAGAAATGGAAAATCAGGGTATCAATCTATCAGGGTGGGCACGTTTACAAATGCAAGCTAGATATGATAAAGATGTTAAACTGTATGGATTTTACAAGGAACAAACTATGTTTGATAAGATATTGTTAACTTCTGATGAGAAACTAATTAAGAAATTTTCTATTAACTTTGAAAATGGAAAGTGAACAAGTGAAAGAAACAATGATAAGATGGGTAAAAATTTTTGGATATAATATAGAATTAGAAAAATGGCAAAATTTATGGGAAAGCTGTTTATTAAAGTTCTAAAAGTTTTCAAGGTCATCCAGCTGGCTGATTATCTATGTCTGGGCTCTATGCCAAGTCTATCCCAGACATAGCATACTGGAAAATTTTCTCTCCGTTTCACCACTAGATGTCATGCTTTCCCAAGTAATAAAGATTTAAACTGAAAGTTATTCGTAAGATTAGTCTTATCCTGCTATTTTTCCAAGCACAATTTAGTGGTTTTCACAATTCTTCAACTTTACCCAAACAATGTCTTTATATTAATTCTGGTTTATCATTCTGTATTCTCTGTTCCTGTCACTCTTAAGGTTTTCTTCCTGCCGCTTTTGTTTGTCTGGTAGGGCGGGGAGGGGGAATCCCCTTCCTCCAGTCACACTTGGGGAATTCTTGCCTTTGGGGAATTTATCTGTTCCAGGGAATAGTGTTAAAAAGTAGTAGAGAGGAAGACCCAGTTCCAAGACACGATGTTACTAATCCACTCGTCAGGGCTAATCTTCACCCTTCTCAACTGTCAGTAGCTCTTGGACAGATTGCATAAATGCAGTCTGTCTTTCTTCTGTCGGTTTGGAGGGGTTTCCTTGGATCAAACGGGCTGACTGCCATCTGCCCATGATCGATGACAATTCCCTCCTTTGTTGCCACTTCTCTGGGGTGACTTTTGGCCCTTTAGAGCCCCCTGGCAGAAAGAAATCAGCTGTGGGGCGAGGAGCTCCACTTTCCCCACGTCTGTATCGCTATGACATCAAGCCTTCCAAGACAAGGAATTTTTTTAAATGTTACCTTTTTTCATCAAGTATAACATTGGAAATATCATGATATGCTCTTTGCCAAACATCATTTGAATTAAAAGTGTCCTACCACAGGATGGCCATAATCCATTGGGGACTTTCTTGCAATAATAGTCATTGAAATTAAATGACTACTGTGTAATTTAGTGTCATAGATATTAAACAGGAGATGTTTAAAGTTAAATAACACTTTCATGTACTGACACAGTCTACCAAAACAGTATTGGAGATACTCAGAATCCTGCTTTTAAATGAAAGCAACAATTCAACTGCATATGAAGCTAAAAACAGCATGAAGGATTTTTTAACTCATATGATTTGGTGTAATCCAACCATCTCCATTTTGGTTTTAATTTACAGTATGCATTAACACAATTTGGCAAGTGGGGAAAAGATCTAAATTAAATGTTGTTATATTCCTATTATCTGGAATTTGTCCTTTTATGAAGAGCTTTGGCTTTATCAAGCCTGGGGCTGAGCAAACAGAATTCATGAAGACTAAGCCAAACAGGCATGAGTAAGAGAACATAATAGGAATTACATAATAGTAATAAGTGGGAAAACATCATTATTTTTTTTGCAGTTACTGCATCCAGAGATTCATTCAGTGACCTTTTTTAAAGTGACCTGTCATCTGCTGGGCAGAAATGAATCATACAACCATCTGCTTTGGAGTGTAATTTGAGGTGCTGGTTATTACCTGGAAAGCCCTGCACAGCATAGGAACTGGTTACCTAAAGCAGAGGTCCCCAACCTTTTGGGCACCAGGGACCAGTTCTGTGGAGAGAGGTTTTTCCACAGACCGGAGGGTGCGTGGTTTTGTCTGCTGCCTGTATCCCACAGATGGGGCTTTGCTTGTTTGTGCAGACTGGTTGTTAGCATGCTGCGGCCCAATACTGGTCCATTGATCAGGGGTTGGGAATCCCTGATCTAAAGCACCATCTGTCTTCCATATTCTTTGCCTGGATAGAACAACTGCTCAGAATTGTATGCTCCAATTCCCTTCCATTAAGCAGGGATACCAGAGAGGAGGAAGTCTGATTTTCTGTCACAGCCCCTATTTTTTGAAATACCATTCCCCTATTTTGTGCTTTTTCATATATGTACTTTGGAGTCATAACATATTTGCCCCTTTCCCAATTCTAAATGAATGGAAACCATGAAGAGCAGAATGTAGTATGTAGCTTCAGTACTTTCGTTGCCCCCAATTTTGTTCCTCCAAACCAGCAACACCTCCTTGATGCATTAAAAAATAAAGAAAATAAGATCTCTACTAGCAAGCTTAATAAACAACCCAACATTCTCCTCTTAACAAGGCCTGTATGCAGTGTGGGATTCAAATATGTGAACAACCGATTCTCTGTGTGGATGATGCTTCTGGAAGTCCATTCTGGGCCTTGGCAACAAGAAATTAGCTAGCGGTTCTGCCGAACTGGTGCAAACTGGCTGAAATTCACTTATATTAGGATATTTTAAAATTCATGCAATATAATTAAACTTATTACTCAGCTGTGCTGTAAAAACACGTAGCATTAATATAGGGATAATAGTCACTAATATTTAGGAGAGAAAAATGTTGATAATTTATTATGGTAAAGTTGCCATTATGTTTAATCCACACTGTTTTATATTAGGATATAACAGTTATCCTAATATATAACAGTTTTTTAAAATTTTATATTATTTATATATAATTTATAAATTATATATATATTATAAAAATAAAATATATTTGTGAAATATTAGAAAATATAACAATAACAAATGCACTACTAAATTGTATTTTAAACTTATTATTAAATCTAGATTATATGAAAACATATTTTTCTATTTTTATAATAATAACGTTATTTCAAAAGTAGATAAAAACATATATCTTAAATGTACTCCTTAACGTCAAAATGATAGGTTTCTTTCATTTATGTGATATATTTTACCTTGTCAAATTTGTAGAGCCAGCCATCTCTACAGTGACTCTTGGTGGCATACAATAAAATCAATACTAAAATATCTAAAAGAAAAGTATCCAAAAGAAAAAACAGCTATTCTAAAACAATAAAACACACTGGACCTCCATACATCTAATCCTTTATGATCTGTGGAGTTCAACCCCCAGAATTTCTGAGCCAGCTAGGAATTCTGGGGGTTGAAATCCACAGGTAGTAAAGGGGGAATAGAATAGAATAGAATAGAATAGAATAGAATAGAATAGAATAGAATAGAATAGAATAGAATAGAATATAGAATATAGAACAGGGGTGTAAAACTCAATTTCATTGAGGGCTGCATCAGCACTGCGGTTGCACTTGGGGGACCGGGTGGGTGCAGCCTACTGGGTGCGTGTGGATGGAGTGGGAGCCTCACTGTTCCTCTCAGGCCATGCGGGGGGGCTGGATAGTGGTGCGGGCTGCCCAGAGCCCTGGGCAGCAGAGGTCAAACACCCAGCCTGGCCCTTGAGCACCCGTGGCACCAAGCCCAGCCCCATTTCCCCAAGGGGGCACCCAGCTGCATTTATCTCC